CAATCAATGAACTAACTACCAAACAAAACTCAGACAGACTCAATTCAAACAGACGGATCATGCTTTGAAATCTAAACTACGATAGAAAGAATTCTATACTGGTACGGGATTTACGGAATAGACCCTCACCTTTGCCACGGGTTCTGAAGAAAACCTGAGAAAACACTGAATGACCCTGATGGCTCTAAAAACAGCAACTCCGAAACTCTCTGGAAATAGATAAATGTGATGATTCTGGCAGAACTAAACCATAGAGATAACAGATCAATAACTCAAGAACTGACCGTTAACTTTTCAATCCCTCTGGTCAGGATGTATTCCTAGACGTCCTCTGTCCATAGCCACCGAGTTTACACCGATCAGACACCGTTTGATTACTCAAAATAGCATAGCCTCCAAGTTGGTCGCAAACGCAGACTGCACCAACACCTTTCACGAAATTAGGCATAACTCTCAGAAAATAAATTGAAATGATGATCCGCTTGCTGGGGATGAAAGATAAAAGAACTAGCTACTTACTGATAAATTTCCAGACTGAAAGCTTTCGTTTAGGTTGACCGTATCGCCTTTACGCTGAGACTGCTCGTAACTGCCTCTGCAACACAACAGTTTAATTATCGTCACGAAGAAACGTCAATAACTTTCTAACTGTACCTTTGTTTCATGATCGGAAAGATTATCTAGAAAGCTGACATCGAGATCTTTCCAATGATATCTCGCTCGTTTCCTGGTTCATTCTGGATCAACGGGAAAATATTGATGAAGATAACTGCTGGTAGATTCGATCTGCAGAAATCAGTCCCGAAGAAATAATCATAACTCTTAGATAAAAATTCCAAATGACGATCCGTTTTCTGATATACGTAGATCTAAGAAGGTAGAACATAACCTCAAAATTTGGCTTCGAAATTCTTGTTTTTGATTAGTCGTTACTCTACTCTCTCAAAACGTGTCTGCTGAAATCTTAATCTCTCTTTAAATAGGAATAGTTTAGGGTTTCTGACACACTACCGGGCCTAGCCGGGCCGAAATAACTGTAATGGGTTTTGGGTCGTTACAATTCTCCCCTACTTACAAGGAATTCGTCCTCGAATTCGATTCATAAACCCACTGTCCAATACCATCCTGAAACAACTCTGGATAATCTATCCTCATCTGAGTCTCAGTTTCCTCCAGAATTTCCTCTCTCCCAATGTACCTTGCCGTTCCAAAAACTCAACTGGCTGAATAGGTGTAAACAAATTTTTACCGAGATTGCATGGTGGTGCTGCTGCAAAATGAGCTATGGCTCTCTCACGACCTTCCTCAATACTGACATATGGAACACGTCATGAAAATCTAACAACTCAGCTGATAACTGCAATCTGTAAACTCTGCTCCAATCCGCTCTACAATGGGATATGGTCCCATATATCTCGGCTTAAGCTTCTTTAGCTTTTGAATCTTATATCCTTCTTGAGATGTTCTTATTTTCAAGTATACTTGGTCGCCTATCTGTAACTCCAGATCCTTATGACGCTTATTTGCACAACTTCTCTTACAACTATGGCCTTTCCAAAGCCAACTTTGAGTATGTCCATCTGATCTACCGTCTCTGGAACAATTAATGGTCTATCTCATGTCGGTCCCCCACTTTTGCCAACAAAGTGGTATACGATGATGTCTATCCAAAAAGAGTCTCATATCGTGCCTTGTCCATACTCGAATGATAGTTTTCACTGTAGGCAAGATGTGCTAAAGGTAGATGTTTCCCTAGCTTCTTTTCCACTGCAAGACGCAACCCTGTGCATATCCTCAGAAGTCTGAATAATCCTCGCTGACTGAACATCTGTCCGCGGATGGTAAAATGTACTCATATGAACATGTGACTCAAGCGCCTCCTTAAAGGCTCTCCAAAATGCAGATGTGAACTTTACATCCCGATTCGATACAATGCTGATAGGTACTCTGTGCAATCTAACAATCTCACTGATGTAACCCTGCGCCAACTGATCAGCTCTGTCTGTCTTATTAATTACTAGGAAATGAGCTAGCTTTGTAAGTCTATCCATGACTACCCATGTGGCATCCTTTCCACCTGCGATGAACGAAAATCCAGTAACAATGTACATAATCCCCATGCCTCATTTCCACTCTTCCTTAAACAAGCTCAACCATAACCTGAAAGATATCTGATCCCGGACAAAACCATCTGACATGTCTATACTGTGATGCAATGTAGCTACAATCTTTCTCATTCTGGACCAATGGTAGTTACCACTTCATATCTTTGTATCCTTTGGTGTTTCCCGGATGGATAAAGAACGCGAGTGATGTTTTTGCTGTAAGATCCATTTTCTTAACAAATTATCCTCCGATACACAAACTCGATTTTGATACAACTACCTCCTTATTGAACTGTCTCAATTGGCGCCATCTATA